CCTTGCATCTGTAGGGGCTAGCAAGGCTGGGACCCTTACCCACACAGTTTTCCCAGACTTGTTTGGATGGCGATTATCAGTAGAATGAGAGAAACATTTGTAGAATGAGAACAGCCTTTCATAGCTTACCAAGAAGTCTGTAACTATTTACTGAGATATGCTGTACTGAGAACTTGTCCTTCTGCTGTATCTCTCCCTTAGAGATTGAGAGGAACAAAGAATACATTCCTCTTGACAGACCTCCTATTCAGTGTGTTGTGTATAAATTTGTATGGCTAATAAACTCGCTTCAGTTCATCGAGAGAACTGGGGTCCTCCTGACCCCGCTTTCCTGTCTTTCTTTCTTTTCTCAATTCCCACCTCCCTGCCTCAGCCCGGCTCAACCCTGTCAGGCATCTGCTAAGCAGGACAGGCAGCGGCAGCAAAAACACCTGGCGGGCTGGATAAATGTATTTGCATGTGGCCCACGGGCCGTAGTTTGAAGACTCGTAATGTACTGCAATGAATCGCTCAGTACTTCCCATTTACTTTCATGACTGTATACTGAGGGAAGGGGAATACTCAGTCTTTTCAAGGATTATTGGATATAGGTCTGGGTTGACACTGAAACCCAGAAATTGGAAGTGTCATCATGGTCCCACATCATACTGGGGGCCCTTCCACAAGCTCATTGAAGATGGTTACCCATAAGTCTAACTGGAGAAAAACACGATACTCATCCAGCCTAGCCTGGGGGCCAGTCGGCCTTGGGTGGTTAGTCAGGTGTTGCCCATCTTCTCGATGCGTTTCACCTTCTCATCCAGGAAGTGGTTCCTCGGGAAGTCACAGAGATGGACACAGAGTTTGTGTCCAGCCTAAGCCCCTAATAAGGCACCATTCCTCAACTGCTTTAACGTCTTCTTGGTAGTAAGTGGTATATATCAGCTGACTTCCATCCTAGAAGAGTGAGGCGTAGGTACATCCTCACAGGGATGCCTATTTCAGGTACAGGTTTCACCTTTCCTGTTCACAGAACAGGCATGAAATTTCACACAACATAGCACCTGACCGGGAATTCACTGCACAGCAAAGGAGGGGTCCACGTGATGGAGACATAGCAAGGACCCAGTTGAACTATAAACTACAGCTGTGAAGAGGCCATTTTATATTGTGTCCAGGAACTAGCAGGAAAGAACCTCCATTTTCATAGGATAACTGATCAGCAGAAGTAGGGCTTCTTTTATAAAAAAAAAAAAGGAAAACCCCAGGTCGTCAACTTGGGTGCGATATTGGTTTTCTGTTGCTACCATAACCAATTACTACAAACTTATGGCTTCAAAAAACATCAATGTATTATATCACATCTCTATAAGTTAGAAGTCCAGTACAGGTGTCTCCAGGCCAAAATCAAGGTATGGGCAGTTTGTAGTCCTCTCTGCAGGCTCTAGGGCAGCCTGTTTCCTACTTGCTCAGGTGTTGGCAGAATTCAGTCTCTTGCAATATAGGACTGAGCAGGCTGTCAGCTGGGGGCCATATTTAGCAAATAGAGACCTCTCCCTCGTCCCCGCTACATGTCAGAACCACCACTATCCTCACACTGTCATTTTTCTCTGATCACAGCTGAGAAAGGTTCTCCACTTTTAAGGGCTTGACATTAGCTTGGGCCCACTGGAATAATCCAGGATATTTCCTTTCCCCATCCAAAGCCTTTAACCATAACCATGTCTGTACAATCCCTTTTGCCAAGTAAAGTAGCATGTTCACAGGACCCAGGGATTGGGACATGGACATCTTGGGAGATGTTTATTCTGTCTGCCACAGGTGCAGCATGGCACTACATTGTCTGCTGTAACTGGACATGTGTGGCTACCCTGGCCTGAGAAGGGTATGATTACCAAAGGCTCAAGACAGGAATTAGGTTCACACCACCAATAATACATGATAACCAATGATGAAGCAAATTTATGGTGTTTAGTGAAGAGAGGTGACAAAGTTGTGGCCCAAGGACAAACTGCAGCATTGGGAATTGTAACTTGCCCTAAGCTACCTTCCTCCTAGGAGGCCCCTCAGGAATTGTGAACATGCATGGGGAAATCAATCTGTCTGGCACAAGAGGCAGAATGCAGTGGCCATTAGAGTATGCCACCCAAATCTCAACAGCATGTACTGCAAACAGTTAACAGCTTCCAGCTCCCTCACCTTTAGGTGTCACACTAAGGCCACACTTCCCTCAGGCTGCTACATGACTGAAAACAGAAGGGATTCTAAGCCATTATTTGTAACAGGGAAACTTCATCTAGGACTCATCAGCCCTCTCATATAGTTTAGAGGCACCCCTAAGAGATGACCGAATGGACTCTTCCGACCAAATGGTTTTCCTTGTGCCTAATAGAACCCAACACCTTGGTGTGGCAACTTCTCAAAACTCACCCTTGCTGCTGGGTTTACAAGAGTGACACAAAATTTCTGGAGTATTAATAATTCCTTGGCCTCCACTTCCCCTCTCCTATCCCAGAAAAGTGCTCATGGGCCTGTTATTTTACAAAACAATCATCTGGAGTGATGAGTGGGTGCTAATGGTTTGTATATCCCTTTTTTAAAAAATAGGAATTTGATAATCTTGTTGCAAAAGCATATTCTTATTTACAACTGCATAAATGCTTCTCCTGTGTTGAGTATACTGCAGGACCTATGAAAAGATCTCAAATTCAATGGGCCTTCTGAGCTACTTTCAACTATTCTCTGGATGTAAATACTTAAAGCCAAAGTGATGATGTAACAGCTATTTTCAACCAAAATAAAAATTCATCCTACTGCAAGAATTTTTTAAATACACAGTACCTATTTAGTCAGGAACAGTGACCTCCTCTCCCTTAGACTGTCACATAAAAAAAAATCACAACCAATCAGCAAATATTTTTGGTGTGCCACAGAATTTTAGTAATATTTTGTGTGCCATGAGTTGAAAAGTTGAAATCCCTGGTCTAACTATAAATTTTTTGTTCCTTAGTTCGGTTCTTATAGGTGATCTTTTGGCCTCCTTGCCATAATGCACTGCAAATAAACAACTTCTAGCATAGGTAACTTAACCCTACCTAAATTTTTAACTTTACCCTTCGATTCATCAAAATGATCTTGATAGCCCTGGCAGGTATGGCTCAGTTGGTTGGGTGCCATCTTGTGCACCACAAGATTGCTGGTTCCATTTCCAGTCAGGGCACATGCCTGGGTTGTGGGCTCTATCCCAGGTAGCGGGCGTGCAGGAGGCAGCTGACTACACATTGATGTTCCGCTCTCACATCAATGTTTCTTTTTCCTCATTCCCTCTCCATTCCCCTCTCTTAAACAAACAAAAAGTTAACTTTTATAAGATCTGGACAACTTATGCCTGTGACCCAGCACCAGATCCAACTTCTCCGGGAGTTTTATACATTCATATACATATACATATGTAATTTACATACATTTACATAGAAGATGGATGGTTAAAGATACATGTTTATGGATATACATTCCTAGTCCTACAGAACTTTAAAAATGATAATCAGTCATTGTGAAAGAGAAATGGGAGTAGAAGTAGGGGGCACAGAGGAGAATGGAAAGGAAGATATTTGGAACTGGTAACCTTTAATAGGGAGGTCCTACCCCTTTCCATTTACTTCTAACAGAACTTTATCTTATCCTGCAAACCAAAACTAAAGTAAGTTACTGAAAGTGTATTTACTTCTTGGGATGTGTCCTATTTTCCCTTTCCCATCAGAAACAGCTCCCTAAGGACCACCACCCCAATTATATATATATATATACTAGAGGCCCAGTGCACAAAAATTTGTGCACTCAGGGGGGGAGGGAGGTCCCTCAGCCCGGCCTGTGCCCTCTCACAGTCTGGGACCCCTCAGGAGATAACGACCTGCTGGCTTAGGCCTGTTCCCGGGGGGCAGAGGGCAGGCCTAATCCCTAGATGCAGCCAGCGGGAGCGGGTCAGGGGCGACCCCCGGCACTCATGCCCCCAACCCGCTCTCAGTCTGGGTGTGTCTGCCGGCGGGAGCGGGTTGGGGGTGTGACTG